CTTCATTAAGAGAACAATGCTTTTTGTGAAGCCCAGTTCTGGTTCCAAATCGAATCCAAACTGCTCCTCACGGCTCTAGGAAGAGGTACTTTGTACACTGTGAGTGGAGCTATGAAATGTTGGAGGCCCCAAAGTGGCTATACCACTTTGGCCCAGCTATACCACTGCTAAGGCTCCAAAGAGATCTCTCCACAGAGATCAAGGGAAGAGGAAAAGGAATGTCTGTACCAAAGTATTTATAGCAGGTCTTGTTATAGGAACCCAAAAATGTAAACTACAGCATTGACTAGCTCCTGGGGAATGGCTGTACACACTTTGGGATGTGATTACAATGGGACATTATTGAGCATAAGAAAATCTACATTCATACATAGTAAATGCTTAATATAATAAATGTTTGTGGACCTGAGTTGGTCCCTATGTGGGCTCAGTCCTGCAGTCTTTGAGCCCACAGAGAGGAGCTGTGGAAAGAGAGCAGGTGCTGAGATTGGAGTGATCTCCCTGATATCACCAAAGACATCTACCAGCCAGATCGTCACCCTCTCCAGGGTATCTGTGACAGGAATGTCTGAGAGATGACATGCATCTTCACAAGATGCATTTCTAAGCAAGTTCAACACTCCTGCTAACAGAGGTCTGAACTTAATTCAGAAGGATTGAGATGAAACATTCCCCAAAAGGGAAACAAAGGAAGAGAAAGGAAATCGTTGGCCTGGCCTGACACCAGAGCTGGAGTTTTCCTTCTTGGCCCTCTTGGAAGGTGCTGGGAGGGGGCTGGGCTTGGGGACCCCTTGCAGCATCAGATTCTCAGTGGCCCCGGGGCTCCTCGAACTCCTGAATGGATGAATTCAGGTTGGTCTGGATTGCTTCCTCAAAGCCAGTCTTAGCCAATTTTGACTGCTCGACTCACAGAGATAGCAGCCTTGATCACCTTCAGCCTTAGCTACACAGGTACTGCACACTCTTAGCCCCACCCCCAAATTGTCAAGGGCAAAGTAAAGAGATAATGGGGAGCCCCCAACTCCCTCCCCCACAAATTGTCACATTGCCACACCTCACAATTCGGTTTCCCTCTATAAGAATTAATAAATTATTCAATAAATGGCAAGAAGTCATTTCCCACACTAAAGAAACCCCTTGCAGACAGTGATGGATGAGGGTTAGGGCACTGGCAGTGGCGGGTGGGGAAAGGTATTCTCCAGGTTTGGCCCCTGAGATGCCTGTTCCCTTGGCCTGCTCACAGAACTTCCAGTGTGAGACATCCTTTCTTTATCCAGAAGTTGCTCTGGCTGACAGCTTCTGGGAAGGTTTCTTGGGAAAGGAAGGACTCCTCAGGACCCAGGTGACCAAGTTCCCAGCTTTCTCTTGGACTGCATTCATAAAGGAAGTCTGAGGCTGTGGTGAGCACTGGGTCCTCCTGGTTCTGGGAATAAGATACAAGAATGAGGAATTTCATTCCAGGAAATAGAAGAATGAAAGGGCACTTTCTTAGAGGGCTTATCAGAGAGTCTGCTTTGTTGTTCTGCCTTGACATGAGGGGAGATGCTGGTAAATCTGTAACAACTGGCTGTCTGAAAAAAATGTATGCAGGACACACTTTTCGGTTAATTTGCATTATTAAAATGTTCTCCATCTTGTTTTTATCTAAAAATCAACAAGATAGTGAATGAAGCCCTGCTTTGGGACATTTGCTGATTTCAGAGACAAAAATGCTCGTACAGAAAAACAATTGTCTTTTATGAGCCAGTAGAAGCTGATTCCAAGCACCATCACTCTGGATTGTCTGGTCCATATTCTGCTGTGGAGACCTCCTATGATTTCTGTTTTGCTACAATTTGTTTATTTGCTATGTGTGTGTGTTGTGGAACTGGTATTAATTAGATGGGGAAGGGGTCAAGCCTTGGATATAGAAGTTGGGGTTTCCTTCCCCCCCAAATCACAGAGTGATCAAAAGTTAGATGCAGCCTGATTCTATCCCCTAGACAATCAATATTCAAGGAAGCACAGAGTTATAGCCCAGTGTCCCTTCTCTCTGAGGAGAGCAGAGTGGTAGCCTCCAGCCCCAACCTCGTGGTTCATCTTGTGGCAGGAATTAAAGTGTCCTTTGGAAAAGGGAGAGTAAGTGGAGAAGAAGCTATAGATGTTGATTCTGCCTCTCTTTGGGCTCTCTCTACACATGGAAGGCCTGCTCTCTAGCCTTACAGAAGTAAAGAAGGGGCTCAGTTGACTCTGGAGGGAGATGTGAAGGGGAGACTGGGTGGCCTCTGGGAGGTCCGGCAAGCCTGGCATTCTGTGGTCCTGTGGCAGAGATCAAGGTTGAAATTGATGTAAGCTTCAAAGATAAGAGGAACATAATGGCCTGGTTATGGGGCTTGGACCCTAGGGATCCCCAGGGATAGATAGCATCCAGTCAGTTAACTCACCCTCCATTGCTCCAGGCCCCCATGGGGCTATGACCAGGGACTCGTGCTTTGACCAGCCTCCATATTGGTGCCTAAATGAAAAGGAAGAAGTGCAACCAACAGAGGCTTTCTGCAGAGCAGAGGAGGAGTGAACAGCAGAGGATAGGCCACGTGTGGAAAGCATCTTGGGCCTGAGGACCCAGCTGCTCCCAGCCGGAAGTTACCAAGGAATGCTGCTTCTTTGTCCCACCCATGGCTGGATGCCCATCTGCTGGTAAGACTGGTTTATTCAGGTTTGCTTCAGGCCATCTTGACATTTTCTGTCAGCTCCCTTCCTGATATACATCAGGCAGATCCAGGACCAAGCTATCACCAAGCAGGACCCAGATACTCCCGATGCTCAAGTGAATATCCACCCTCTGCAGCCACACACTCTCCTAGGAGCTCTAAGAAGAAGTACCTACCCAAGGTCACCACGCTGCTGGGGCTGCCGACTCCCTTGACTGCTCTTCCACATCTTTCCTCTCATCCACATGATCCAATCCCTGAGCCTTCCCCTGGCCCCTCTAGAGGAAGGACTGACTTTTATTGTGTATAGATCCTATTGATATGGCTGGAAGCCTTGGGAGGGTTAGGGTTAAGGTTAGGGTTAGGGCTCCACGAATGTCAGCCCTCAAAGACCATGGAAACTCAACGAATGTCAATGCCAGATCCTTGGCCTAAAGAAGAGAGGGTAATAAACATATCCCTCCTCTTGGTAGAGGGGTGTGTGTGTGCATGTGAGTACATGTGTATGTATGTGTGCAAACATGTGCATGTGTGTGCACATATGTGTGGGCATATGGGTATGTGTGTAAATGACTAGGAGTGCAGAATGTTGCCTATCCTGTCAGATATGGTTATTCTCAATGTCAGTTTTGCTTATCTATGTCTCTTTCAGGGGATATAATGGTGGTGGTTTTAAAAAAAACATGCATTGCTTAAACAAAATTAAAATGAGGGGCTCAGACTAGATGGTGTTTTAACCCTGTTTGAACTAGGTGGTCCATGACTCAGTGATTTTGAGCCTCAGGTTTTCCTTTCTTCTCAAAAGAAATAGCTATGGAGATCTCTAATACACTATGGTTTGGAGGAAGCCCATGGGGATGCCATCCTACTCTGAGAATTGGGTGGGAAGCATTTAGAGTTAGGCTTAGAGACGGTCACACTCAGGTCATCTGAGGGAGATTGTCTGCATTGAATGCTGAAGTGCCAGGAGCCTCAGAAATCATCTTCCCCAAGGGACTGGGGACTGGGCACTGGGGAAGGAAGCCCAACACAGGTAAGGAAGTCGCTAGAGCTGTGATTCTTCTGCTGCAGACCAAATAGACTTGTTGATGTTATGAGGCTTGGTGAGATTGAAGAGGCAGGTCTATAGCTCCCAGAAATTAGTATTTTCCCATCTATAATAAAGCTTAAATAGGCTGAACTTGTTGACTGCTGTGTACTAGTGATTTCCTCCCTGTCTTTAAAGTTTGCAGGTATTCACTTCCCAACTCCTCTCTTCTGATTCCTGACTCACTCCCCCCCCCTTTTTTTTGGGATTAAGTGACTTGCCCAGGGTCACACAGCTAGTAAGTGTCAAGTGTCTGGTCTGAGACTGGATTTGAACTCAGCTTCTCCTGACTCCAGGGCCAGTGCTCTATCCACTGCACCACTTGGTTGCCCCCATCACTCGCTCTTTCCTTTTCTTACCTAACTGTCCTTGAATGGTTGGCTCATACTATGTCCTGGTGGATAACAAACCAGGCAGGAGTTGGGTGGGCACGTACCATTTCTAGCTTCTTGAAGAAGTGGTATTTACTGCTGAAAGGAACTTTAGGGATCTCATCAAGTCCAATTCCTTCATTCAATGGATATGGAAACCAAGGAAACAGTGCAAAAGTGACCTGTCCAAGGCCAAATAGGTAGTAAGTGCAGAGCTAAATTCAAACCCAGGTACTCTGACATTAAACCCAACTGCTGTCTTCTAACTTTCTCACTTCTGTCCATCCTCTCCTAGATCCTGTTCCATATCCTGCTTCTAGTTCATTCTTAGTCTCCCTTTATTTCATGTGCTTCCTGCCCACTCTCTATCCCCTTGACACTAGGGTCCCAGGTCTTCTCCATCTCAGCCCAGTCTGTCTCTTGATCACTTTCCTCCTCAAACATTAGCATATCCAAGCAAACTCAGTCACCCTGAATCTGGGTTTGGCTGGACATTGTGAGTCTACTAGAGACCTAGAATTACCTATCTGTCACAGATCCAGATCCTGAAACTCTTGAACTTATTTTCTATGGCCTCCCAGAACTTTTTATGACTCCCCCTTTCCTCTCCTGAGTTCAAACACCCACATTTATCCAAGAGGAAAGAGGAGGAAGACAGAATTATAGATATGCTAAATCTGAGAACTGTGGGGGACCTTAGAGGTCATCTCACCCAAGCCATATATGGCCAAAGGTCCCCTCTACAACAGACTGTATGAGTCATCCTCCAGTTTATGCTCAACTATTGTTACCAATTATGGCCCCTGGGATATAGAAAAAGCCCATGACCTATTCCACAGGAAAAACATTCAGGCATATGTCGAAAGCTCTCATGTGCATTCTCCTCCTGTCTCCCAACCTAGTCCAGTCCATTTACAAAGTAAACATGAGACCTGGCTTTTCATTCTGCCTCTGACTCATGTAGTGACCTTGAGTAGGTCCCTTCCCCCTCTCCAGGCCTCAATTCCTGCCTCTGCAAAATAAAGGGGTTAGAGTAAATAATTTCTGAGCACCGTAAAAGAAGGTGATTTTGGTCTGATGTAGTTACCTTGAGCCTCAGTTTATTCCTCCTCAAAATGAGTGACCCTGGAGTGACCTCAAGTTCTGAGAGTCTACAGTTTAGGCAGAGCTACCGCAAGGATGGTTAAAGTAGCAACTCACCCTGCTCTGGGAGCTGTGGGATTGGGCCATGGGACCTACTTGTATATAGATGAGAAGTAGCCAGGTGGAGCCAGTTGATCTACCTAAAGGGTAAGAGGCTTATAAAGGGAAAGGGAAAGAGAGAGAAAGAGAAAGAGAGAGAGAGAGAGAGAGAGAGAGAGAGAGAGAGAGAGAGAGAGAGAGAGAGAGAGAGAGAGAGAGAGAGAGAGAGAAAGAAAGAGAAAGAGAGAGAGAGAGAGAAAGAGAAAGAGAGAGAGAAAGAGAAAGAGAAAGAGAGAGAGAGAGAGAGAGAGAGAGAGAGAGAGAGAGAGAGATTGATTGATTATTTTCATTTTAGATCAAATCCCTTGGCATGATAAATTGCATCTTCCAAGGGAATAAAGCTCAGGTGCAGAAGACAGAGATGGGTAAACAAGTTGAATAATCCCTTGTGTTGCTTCTACCTTGGGGAAAATAAACTTATTGATGGCCAACCTTTCAGGCAGCTGGGGCCTGGAAGTGAAGAGAAGGGGGGAGAGGGCGAGATGGATGCCTTGGCCCAGACAGCAACCCCTTCCTTTCTTTTTTTTTTTAATCTTTTTTTAAACTGTTAATTTATTTTGATTTATCAACAATCACTTCCATAAGCTTTTGAGTTAAAAATTTTTTTCCCCTCCCTCCCCACCTCCCTCCCCAAGATGGTGCACAATCTGATATAGACTATATATATACATTCCTATTAAACATAGTTTCATATTAGTCATGTTGTAAGAATTCGAACCAGTAGGAAGAACCACCAGAAAGAGGAAACAAAACACAGAAGAAAAAAAAATAGCAAATAGTATGCTTTGATCTGCATCCAAATGCCATAGTTCTTTCTTTGGATGCAGATAGCATTTTCCATCATGAGGCCTTTGGAGATGTCTTAGATCCTTGTATTGCTGAGAAGGGTTAAGTCTATCAATATTAGTAATTGCACAATGTTGCTGTTACTGTGTGTAATGTTCTCCTGGTTCTACTTCACTGAGCATCAGACCATAAAAATCTTTCTAGGTTTTTCTGAAGTCTACCTGTTCATTTCTTTTAACACAATAGTATTCCATTACATTCATATATCACATTCACAGTTATGATTACTATCTGTGTCTTTCTCTCCATCCTCCCCCCCCATTTATGCTTTTCTTTCTCCTTTCCCTCCTCACTAGTGTTTTGCCTTTGACCACCGCCTCCCTCAGTCCCATCTGCCTTCTATTAGACTCCTCACTTTTCTTTCCCCTTTTCCCTCCTACTGCTTATAGGGCAAGTTAGATTTCTATACCTAACTGATTATGTTATTCCCTTCTTGAGCCAAATCTGATGAGAGTAAGGTTCAAACAATACTCATCTCCCCCCCTTCCCTCTGCTGTAATCAGTTTTTGTGTCTTTTCCTGCAATGTAATTTACCCTTGTCTGTATCCTCCTTTCCTTTTCTCTCAGTACATTTGCTTAGTTAGATCAGATTAATCCACTGACTTGGATCCATTTAACCCACTTGATTAGATTTTTTCTTTTAATATTACAACAAAGTCAATTTATACCCACCCCTTTATGTATACCCCTCTAATATGATGTAATAACAATACAGTTCTCAAGAGTTACAAGTGTCATATTCCTCTGTAGGGGTGTAAATAGTTTGACCTTATTAATAACATGTTGTTTCTTTCTGTCCCGTTTACCTTTTTATGTCTCTCTTGAGTCTTGTATTTGAAGATCAAATTTTCTGTTGAGCTCTGGTCTTTTTATTAGGAAGGTTTGGTTGGAAGGACATTTCATTGAATGTCCATCTCCTCCTCTGAAAGATCATGCTCATTTTCACTGGGTAATTGATCCTTGGTTGTAATCCAAGTTCCTTTGCCTTATGGAATATCATATTCCAATCCCTATGGTCTTTTAATGTAGAAGCTGTGTAATCCTGACTGTGGTTCCATGATATTTAAATTGTGTCTTTCTGGCTGCTTACAGTATTTTCTCTTTGACCTGGTAATTTTGGGATTTGGCTACTATATTCTTTGGTGTTTTCAATTTGGGATCTCTTTCATGAGGTGACTGGTGGATTCTTTTGATGACTATTTTACCCTCTGGTTCTAGGACCTCAGGGCAGTTTTTCTTGATGATTTCCTGAAAGATGCTGTCCAGGCTGTTTTTTTTGTCATGATTTTCAGGTAGGCCAATAATTTTTAAATTATCTCTCCTGGATCTATTTTCCAGGTCAGTTTTTACCAATGAGGTATTTTATGTTTTCATCTATTTTTTTCACTCTTTTGTTTTTGTTTGACTGATTATTGCTGATTGGCTCTCACAGAGTCATTAGCTTCCATTTGCCCAATTCTACTTTTTAACAAATTGTTTTCTTCTGTTAGATTTTGTACCTCCTTCCCCATTTGGCCAATTGTAGTTTTTAGGGGCTTGTTTTCTACAGTTAATTTTTGTCCTTCTTTTTCCAAGCTATTGATTCTCTCTTGCATACCTCTCATTTCTTTTCCCATTTTTTCTTCTACCTCTCTTATTTGACTTTTAAAACCCTTCTGGAGGTCTTCTAAGAAGGCTTTTTGGGCTTCAGACCAGTTCATATTCCCTTTTGAGGTTCCAGATGTGGGTTTGTTGACAATGTTGTCCTCTTCAGAATTTCTGCCTTGATCTTCACTCTTCCCATAATAAGAATCTATGGTACGTTTCTTTTTGCTCATGGTGTTTGTTTATTTCCTGGCCTTTAAAGAGATTGGGCTCTCCTGCTGGGGAGCAGAGGGCACTGACCCAAGCTTCTTATGTTGGGAGCCTAAGGCCTTGGTCACTGGTTTTGTGTGCTGGGGCCTCCAATGTTGGCAGTTGGAGGCTGTAGGGTTCTGGCAGCTTACCTGGTGTTGGGCTGGAATCAGCAACACTGGGACTCTAGGGGTTGGATTGGGTAGTCTGGCCCCTGGAGGTGCCTGCCTTTCTTTTCGTTTTGCTTTCTTCAGCTCCTTTCAGATGGATGTTGCAGGATGTTTATCCATCTGGGGCCCCTTGGAGCTTGCTTCCCTTATTCATTTTTTTGTTGTGTCTAGGCAATGTGGTTAAATGACTTGCCCAGGGTCACACAGCTAGTGTTATGTGTCTGAGGCCAGATTTGAACTCAGGTCCTCCTGAATCTAGGGCTGGTACTCTATCCACTGATAGTGGATAGTACTTTTGCTGAGGCAGTGGGAGACCTGGGTGCTGTAGAATGCCGAGGCACCTGGTGGTTTTCCAAGCTGGTTTCCAACAGTTCCCCCACCCTCACTGAGGCACTAGGGGGTCCAGGTGTTGGTGTTTGCCTGCTCAACCACCTGTGTTTCAGGATCTTCCCCTAGTATGCTGAGGTGGGGCTTTCTGCTAGCTTGCCGGGATGCCTCACATTCTGTACTGCTCCCCTAACCCCAGGGCAATAGGGGCCTTTCCCATTAATCTCTCAAGCTACCTGGGCTACTGGACTGCTGCACCCCATCTTTCTTCTGGTTCAGCTATTCCAGGTTTTTTCCTGGGGTGATATTTTCTGGGCTTTCAGAGGTTAACAACGGAGGGTAAGAGCTACTTCTTACTCCACCATCTTGGCTCCCAGAAGCAGAAGGTCCAACCCCTTCCTTTCTAAGCACATCAGTGCCACCATGAAAGTGAACCAAGAGATTGTGATGCTCACTTGTGATTTTCATTCTTTCCTGAGACTGTCCCTAGTCACTTTTGACCTCCTCACTTGACTATTTTGGGCTAATCTTCTCAACTGTATAAGGAAGGAATGGGTAGGCTAGGTGATCCCTAAACATCCCTCTAAGTTCTAACAGTCAAAAAATCTCTGAATTTCTACCCCTTCATTGTCATTTGGTCTTTCCATTTGGGGGAATCCAGGACAACTCTAAACGCTCATCCACATGTCAGCCCTTCTGATACTAGAACGGCTTTCGTATCACCCTACCAAGTCTCCTCTTCTCTAAGCTCAATATGTCTAATTCCTTCATTTGCTCCTTATATGAGATAGATTCAAAGCCTGTAGCCATCCTTGGTTTCCCTTCTATGGACACTTTCTGGCTCATGAATGTCCTTCTTAAACCGTGATGCCTAGACCTGAACACAGCACTTGAGATGTGATCTGTCCAAGGAAGAGATTATACCGGGACTGTCACCAACTTGTTCCTGGAATATGTGCCTCTCCTCATATGCCCCGAGGTAGCATTGACTCTTTTGGCTGGCCCATCACACTGTTGACTCATATTGTCCTCAGGCAATCCTCTCAAGCCCTTAGGATCCCCCCCCCCAAATAAAATGCCTCTGCTTTTTTTGGTGTCCTCATATGTGAATGACTTGCTCTCTTGCAAGCCCTCGAGGTATCAAAAATGCAGAAGTTGCAGAGGATTCACAGATATCCATAAACAGATAAACACACAAGACTGAACAGCCCATGAGGTCCCCTGAAAAGGGATGAGGTGAAGGTTGTTCTTGAGGACACCCTTTGATATCATAGTAATTCCTTCTTTCCCCAGACTCTTATCCTTTCTCCCCTAGACTCATGATACTCTGTGATTCAGAAGTTAAACAGGGGCAGCTAGGTAGTGCAGTGGGCAGAGCAGTAGCCCTGGAGTCAGGAGGACCAGAGTTCAAATCTGGCCTCAGACACATTAACACTTAACTAGCTGTGTGTGACTCTGGGTAAGTCACTTAACCCCAACTGCCTCACCCCCCCCCAAAAAAAAGTTAAACATATTTTGGGGCTAACACAGAATCCATTGTCCATCGGACCTGCACTGTCCAAGGTACTCACTATATTTTCTCTCCATATAGGACACTGCACAGTAACTATTTATGCAGACCATCTTCATCTTTCTCCAATGAGCTTTCTGGATCAGGAAATGCCCTTCTATCTTTAGTAGGTCAGAATCTCAGGGTCTCAAACTTGGGAACTTATACACTTAAGAATTCCGGGTTAACTGTGAGGTGTTGCCTAGGATATCCTTCTTCTCTGACATGGTTAGATTCTGGGGTCACACTCCTTAGAGAATTAAAAATGTCCTCTCCTTCATGCAGGATTTGATGTCCATAAACATTGTCCATGAGGTATACTCTAGGTTAAGCATTTCACAGATTTGAACTGGAACTATATTCAGAAGGCACCAATCCACCAGGACCTGTAGCAGTTCAGTGCCCCAAGGTCCCCGCAGCACTCTACAAAGGTTTTGAGTTAAAATCTCTCGAAACTTCCAACCCACATGAAAAGATTTCTTCAGGCCTTTGAGACAGTCCATCTGACATCAACCCTGAATGAATTAGGGTTAAATGCAGTGCTTTGGGCTGAGAGGTTGAGGTTAGGGAAAATGCTCTCTTCCTTTCCTTGCTAATTTAACCTGACTCCTTAACTGCTTCTAAATCCACCTGTCAGCCGTGACTCAGTCTGAGGCTTTGCAAAGCCCACTCTGCAGCATTTCTCTGATCTAAGCAAAGACTAGCTAATAAGAAGGTTCAGTTCCATCTATCAAATGGGATAATATGAGGTCCCAGAGGATCCAATGAGATCCTTCTTGCAGACCTCAAAAGCAGTAGAGAAATGCCAGTCACTTGTTTCACAAGTATCCCTTCCTTGGCATCAGGCAGGCATGTGCCGGCCCTCAGAGTGTCTTTAGACAGCCCAGGCCTCCTGTCCAGGCCCTCTTCCTTCCTCATCCCTGCTGAGCTCTTTCCTCTGGTGGCTTCTAGGTGGAGTCTAAGGACCCTGCCTGGATTCGTCAATTGCTTTTTGGTGACAAAAGTGCTGAGGCTGGGCTCCTACAGCTAGAGGAGGTACAGGATCAGCTTTGAGAACTGGAGTGCAGAATTCTGACTCATGTGGCAGAAGAGCAGGACAAGTCTGCAGCAAAGCTGATGCCAGGTTGAGGCTGATCCTTCTTAAGGCCGGAGTGACCACTGGGGTGACAGAGGAGGTGAGGCCTGCCTCACTGCCTGTCCTCCTAGCTGAGGTCACAGGTTTGCCCAGAGAGGAGCCTCAGGAGAGAAAATCTCAAGCACTGGCCAAGCAGGCAGCATCCTTGCCTGTCCCTACATCGGCTGGGCCGGTCCTGCAGGTGGCCTGGCCACAAGTGTATATCTATTTTAAATTTCCTTTGGACTTCCCTTTTCTCCTTTCAACCCACACTTTCCTATCTTTTTTCCCAAGTTGACTCTGTTTTCCCAAAGTTGAATCTATATTTAAATGCACACTTATCACTATTAGATTCCTTATTGGAATACGGTCCTTGAGATTTTCTTTCCAGATAGGAAAGTCAAAAATGAAATGGTTTCACTTGTTTCCCAGGTGCTGTTTGTTGTGGTCACTCACCTACCTGGCCCCAAAACATTGTGTTTGAAAGGAATGTTAAACATTATTTAAATGGTGCGGGGACAGAGCCAACACAGTGCAGTAAATGCAGCAACTTTCTTTAGCTCTCCCCCAAACACCTAGAAATAACTTGGATAAATGGCTCTAAATAAATTCTAGAGCAGCAGAAACCAGAAAAGACAGATTATGCAAATGTCCATTCCAAGAGAATCTGGATGGTCGATAAGAAAGCTCTATCTCACCTTTGATTATAAAGATCTATTGTGTAGAGTTAGGAGAGAAACACAGTTCACCTTGGGCATGTAGGAAATCAATGTGGTACAGGGCTCAGGGGACTGAATCATGGGCAGCTGTGGCAGTTTCCCCGATTCCTTGACCCAGAACTCCAAAGACAACTTAGAATGTCACTATGAAAATTCTGTGACCTCATGAGAGAGAAAGTAATTCTCAGCCCCATTCCAGGTTGTACCCCTGGTGGGGCGGGCGCAGCTGCTTCTGGATATCCTAGCCCACAGATTGAGGGGGAATTCAGTGGCTGATCAGAGGGAGATTACAGTGATTCTATGCTGGTGTAGAGGTAGAATTCTCTTTCTTTGCCATGGTTTTATGTGGGTCACAGCTCTGGGTGGCACTCCTAGGGCAAGGAAGAGTGCTGGCGTGGTGGAGCTATTAACAATGGGGCAGAGAGAACACTCCTCACAGTTCCAAGGTAAAAAGGAATGTTTGTGGTCTCTGATAGATCAGAGCACTGGCCAGGAAAGGAATAAATACATCACTCTTTATCATACCACTTTGGAAGACCTGAAAAGTTAGATGTTTCTGGAAATATCTGTGAACATAATTGCAGAAAACCCTCAAAGCTGGGACAGTGTATTCTGCACACTGGATGTAGATCCTTTACCTTAACAAAGAGTTTAATACTCAAGTAATTGGCTGGGATCATGAGCAAACTGTGCAAAAAATGTCAGAGCATAGAATCTCTTTTTGGTGGCAAAGAAGATGAAAACATACAACTAGGAGACGACAACAAAGTCAAAGTTCCTACTCCACAGCCAACAAGAAAAATAGGAATCGGTCGCAGGCCATTGGAAGAACTGGGAAGAGCAATAAATGTGACGCAAGAAAATCATAAAAAAACTAGTTAGCAGTTTGCTAAAGTAGACCCAAAAAATGGTGAAGAAAATCACACTTAAAAAACTAGAGAAACCGAAATGGCAAAAGAGGTCCAAAAAGCCAATGAGGAGAAGAATGCCTTTAAAAAGCAAAATTGGCCAAATGGAAACAGTCCAAAAGCTCAGTGATGAAAACACTTCCTTAAAATTAGAATGGAGCAACTGGAAACTACTGAGTTTATGAAAAATGAAGACATTGTAAAACAAATCCAAAGAATGAAAAGTGAAAGACAATGTGGAGAGAAATCATGATAGATTTATTAAGATTGAACTGTTTACATTCGTGCATGGAATGATGATATTTATAACTCATGAGATGTTTGTCATATTAGGGCAGTTGAAGAAAAAAAATATATTATGTATGTATGTATATAGATAGATAGATAAAGAGATACAGGGCACAGGGTGAGTTGAAGATTAAAGGGTCATGTGTGGAGAATAACATTAAGGATGAGAGAAGATGATACTCGGAGAAGAGGAAAGGGAGAGGCAGAATGGGGTAAATTATCAAAAGAAAAGATAAAAGAAAAGTCTCTTACAGTGGAGGGGAAGCAGGGGAAGGTGAGGGAATGAGTGAATCTTATTGTCATTGGATCTAGCTTAAGGAGGGAGTAACATACACATTCAATTGGGTATAGAAATCTGTTTACCTTACAGGAAATTAGGGGGAGAAGGGGATAAAGAGCAGGGTGATGATAGAGAGGACAGATTGGAAAGGGGTAATCAGAAGAAATACTTCTGAGGAGGGACAGGGTGAAAAGAAGGAATAGAAGAAATGGGAGGGCAGGATAGGATTAAGGGAAACAGAGTTAGCTTTTCACAACATGTCTACTATGGAAGTTTTGCATAATTGCACATGTACAACCTATATTGAGTTGCTTGCCTTTTCAATGAGGGTGGGGGGAGGAGAAAGAGAGAAAATTTGAAACCTAAAGTTGTAAAAACATATGTAAAAAATGTTTTCACATGGTACTGGGAAATAAGAAATACAGGAGATGGGGTATAGAAGTCTATGTTGCCCTACAGGAAACTAGAAGGGGAAGGGGATAAGAGAAGGGGGAGAGATAGA